TGGCCGCACCTCGGAAAAAAAAACCCCTCCGCCGGTTTAGGGTTAACCGTAAATCCTGCATCCCCATACAGAAACCCTTCATAGCACTCTTATCGCAGACTTACAGAGCCCTTTATGGAGCCCCAGGTGGATCTTCTCTTAGAAGCCCGGGCAGATCCCTGCCGACGCTCGGAAACGGGCAGTTTTCCTTTGATGCTGGCCGCGTCGCTTGGGCTTTGATAGGGCAGGGCTGGGAGAAGTTCCCCGAGGGCCCGATTTATCTGCACTCAGCATAATCCTCGCATTAAAAGGGGCTTCCGATTCATGACTGTATATTGCGTTCTATCTATACACTTATATTGTGTAAGTAGTTTGTTGTCAAAGTCACATACTCCTCTAGCACGGTGGGTTAGTAAATGATCGGATTTCAGCCGATTTAATTTGAGTTTCCCTTGGGGAGTCGGCTCCAGGGTTTGGTGGTTTCAGGGTTTCCCAAATGTTGGGGTGTGTGTTTTAAGGGTTTAGGGTTCAGGGTTCAGGCGTTTAGGGTTTAGGGGTTTAGGGTTTAGGGTTTAGGGTTTAGGGTTTAAGGGTAAAAGGTACATTTTCAAGGGGTACTTCTCGGATACTGCCCCCCCACTCAGTGGCAGTTGCGTAACACTCATACCGTAGAGATTTTAGGGCCCCAAAATAGGAGCCTTGTTAGAGACTGTCACTGTATGGGGCCAGTATCCAAGGTACCTTAAACCCTGAACCTTAAACCCTAAACCCTAAACCCTAAGGTACTTCTGTCAATTTGCGTCCCTGTGGTGAACCCCAGCTGAGGCAGCACTCCAGTCTCAAGTGCCTCGGCTTGTTAGATTTGGTCCTCGGTGACCGTCGCTGGACAACGCTGAGGGTGCCCAGACTGTATGCAGAGTGTCGACAGATTGCCGTCTGCGTGTGTTTCACAGCTCGTGTGAAGTGTGTTGAAGCTTCGTGCGATGCGATTTCTATGGTCAGACAGCATTCTAAGCCATCAGCCAGAAAACCTCCTAAGCTCTACTCCATTGAAGCAGATAAAGGGGGGTGTTTATATCTGCGCTTGTTCCGAATCCGCTTTCCGGGTGCTGGTCATAGAAAGCTCTAGCGGAAGTCGAAAGCTTGAAGCGCACCCACAAGAACGAACGCCGATCTGGATTTGTAAAGCCGGTCGCATGACTTCGGAAGCAACTTTCATGTGTGGATGCTTTCTTCTCTACGCTTTTTAAACCTACACCTGAAAACTGAAAAAGCCGTGGTGCCGGAACTAATCCTAAACCCAAAGCCTACACCCTGAACTCTGACTGTGACCCTGAACCCTCAACGAAAACCCTAAATCCTGAACCCTAAACCCTAAGCCCCAAACCCGAGGCCTACACCCTGGGATCTGAACTCCGAGGCCCCAAACCCTACACCCTAAACCCCAGGACCCTGCATCCTGTGCGCAACCCCGGCAGCCTAAATCCCAAAACCCTGTACCCCAGAACCCTACCCTGAACCCTGAACCCTAAACCCTAAACCCTAAACCCCTAAACCCCTAAACCCTAAACCCTGAACGAACCCAAGTCTCAATCCCTGGACCCAAAACCCCAAAACCCCCGACTATAGAACTACAGACCCATTGCATAGAGCCTTTATAATATAGGGGCCTTAATAATTACCTATACTATTTTGGGGGTTCCTTAAACTATAAACGGCCCCAAAACCCTATTCTAATTATTAAGGCCCCTACATTACTGAGGTTGGCGCGAAAGCTTCTTCAGGCTCGCGGGCGAGGGCCGGCACTGAGACAGAAGCTCGCATATCTCTTATTTTCTAGAGTATATGTTCGTTAGTACTTGTCTTAACATGGTTCTTCTTATAGGCGTCTTGAATGGCGGTCTTCAGCTTACAAAGCTGTGGTTGGGGTTTGCAATCGTTTGGAGGTTTAGACTGCAGCATGCGGGACAAAGGCTGCAGTGAAAGAAAGGAGGCGACACTAAATCAGAGCCGGGTTTGTCCAAGATTGCTTTACCCAGAGAACCCAATACCCCTTAATTAAGGAATATGCCTTGAATTGTAGGGGCCTTCTTATTATGTCTTAAGGTATATTCCTTAATTAAGGGGCATTGGGTTCTCTGCGTACAGGGAGTCAAACGGTCCGCGACATTCAAAGACGAGTGCAACATAAACTTCACGAGCTGCCGCTTTTGCTGACCCGTGAACAGTGGCTCGCTAGCGCAGTGCTGTAGACGTGGGTCCAATAATTTTCCAAGACGGCTCCGATGGCCCCTAAGACCGGAGGTGCCGAAGCTACGTGGCTCGTTTGGTGTTTCGAGCATTGCTTGAAGCCCGAGCAGGCCGTAGTACGTAAGGAGTTGGCGGCTCTTGCGACCAGGTTCGGATGCAAGTTGGTGTGGCACAAGAAATCCATGAGCTTTCTCAGATGGCTGGAGGGCAGGAAGGGGAGCATACTGCTCGTCGCAGATTGGCGAGAAGCCAAGCCCATCACAGAGGAGATCAGCAAGCAAAACAGGGGCCATGACTTGCGCTTGTGTGTCGTCGCACAAACAGCAACGATCCTTCGCCGAGCATCCTTCTGGGCACGCGCTCAGAATGGATGTGCAGAGATCATGGTGACGCCGGGCTTCTTGCGACACAAAGTGGAGGAGTTGATCGCAAGCTATGTGCAGGTTGTGCAGGCCAAGCGCATCGCAGAGCCGGCTATGAGGACATGTGCTGAGATCACCGTGAGGTCTACAGACGAATGGTTGTCCCTCTCCAGCCTTCTTGAAGCCGTAAATGACCCCATGCGGGCTCTTGGACTTGAGAAGCTCATTCGTCAAACGATGTGGCAACTCTACGAGGACTGAGCCAAGGATGATCAAACGTACCAGTCGGAAAGCTGATGGGGCGAGAGCGAAGATCGCAGGAGCCCGAGTAGTCTTCTTTCTGACCTTTTGCCAATTATCCTGCTCCAGTATGCAGGGATGTGTGTTCTCCAGGCCATGTTGGGCCGTTTTCTTTTGAGGCCCAGGCTTTCCATCCGTGTTTAGCCATGCCTCGCTACCTATCTGGGGGTTTCCGAAAATTAGGGTCCTTATTTTGGGGTCCTTATAACAAGGATTCTATTATTTAGGGTACTATATTAGGGTCCCCTATTTTCGGAAACTCCCAATCTCAGGCAGACCGGCAACTTTTTGGGCTCCGCAGTCCAGGCAAAATTGCGTGCAGCCGGATATTCCGGGTTTAGAGTTTAGGGTCTTACGGGTTTCGGGTGAGGGTTCTGTCCGCGGCAAAGCCTTCGAGCTCATCATGTCTACACGGCACGCTGTGGCCCATGGTCAGATCCCTACACCCGGCTGAAGCTATTGTGCATTATATGGGGTTTCCGAGAATAGGAGACCCTAATGTAGTACCCCAAATAGTAGGATCCTTATTATACGGATCACAAAACAAGGTACCCCTTATTCTCGGAAACTCCCAAAGGCAGCAGACCGGATCAGATCGTGCAGCACCGCAGTCAATCAATGACTGCTTAAGGGAGGTTACGTGCAGCACGTTTTATTCTGTTGGGCAACATATTCGATTGCACAAGGTGTGTGTAGCATGGTCCGGTACACGACGGATGTGCTGCTTCAAGCACACAGCTGCTGGGACATGTGCAAGCATATGAGTTGAAAGCATACCAACAGGCAGGACAAATTTGGTGCTGTGTAACAGCAGGCAGTGGGCCCATTCCAGTGCTGGCTGAATTAACCGGAAGTGATGAACAGCGTCCGAACAGTTTCCAACACAACATGCCCAGGCATCGTGTGGGCGATAAAAGAGAGGATCCCAACCTGAAGCCATGCCCACTTGGTGCTTTTAACGGTTGTGTGTAGTATACCAGCGATGTACTGTTTCTGTCGCCTCCACCACTGAGAAATGTTCCTCCAGCCGGAGCCTCTGCTTCCTGGGGAGGCAAGGGCAGAAATCAACCAGCAAGACACGCCACTCGGCCGCAACAGGGCCCCTGCAATTGCCTTCGCATTCCGTGTTCCGTCCTAAAAAAAGGGGAGGGTACAGTGTCATGCAGCAGAGCCCGCACTAGCAAACTGTGTGTTCCGAACCGGGCGAAGGAGGCTGGTGACTCCGCTTCATGCCGCGGTGCACGAGGACTCTTCGTGGCAAAGATTTCCCAACGGTGCTAGGTGCACTGGTACATATCAGAGGATGGCGCAAAGCATCTCCTTTACTACAAGCCGTGTCCTTCATATGAGTGTTTTCTGAATTAGGATCCATCTCGGTCTCGCTATGACAAGGTGTTCTGGCTCAACAGGAAAAGGGGAGGGGGTTTACGCGCCAAATCCCCCAGCCCCCTAGTAAGTCCCCGACAGTGCAATTGACCCGGGACTTGAACCTGTAGCAAGCCTTGTACCCTGAACTCTAATCCAATCCTGCCCTAAACCCTACGCCCTAAACCCTAAACGCGAGGACTCTGCACAAACGGTGCAGCTACTCCTCATGCACAAAGCGAACGTCAACGCGCAGGATCAGGACCGGACCATCCTCCAGCCAGAGTGTGTGTGTGTGTGTGTGCCCGGGTGGGGCTAGGGTTTGCTTCCAACTTTACAGCCCGCCCCTCCGGAAACGGAAGCCAACGGTTTAGGGTTTCGGGGTTTAGGGGTTTAGGGTTTAGGGTTTAGGGGTTTAGGGTTTAGGGTTAACTTGTCTCCCTAAACCTTAAACCCTAAACCCTAAACTCCAACAGCAGGCGAAGATCTCGTGGCCCGGGGACAGTCCCCGAAAGCCAAAGCCCTGGAGACCTTCAACCCAGAAGTCCGACAACGTTCTCCAAGTTAGGTCCTTAAGGGGATCTATAAGGGTCCCTGAACCCTAAACCCTAAACCCTAAACCCTAAACCCTAAACCCTAAACCCTAAACCCTAAACCCTAAACCCTAAACCCCAAGGCTGCTATAAGGGTAGTTCTCTATATTGTCTCCTGATAGGGTTCCTTAAAGGGATCCTTTAAGGGTCTCTATAAGGGTACTATCAGGGTAATTCTCAAATTAGGGCCCCATTTCAGATCCCCGATATAGTACGGCACCCTTATAAAAGGGACCCTAAAAAGGACCCTAATTTAGAGAACTAGCCTCTTATGGGACGTTCGCAAAGCTTCCTTTCAGGTTTTAGGGTTTAGGGGTTCTATGAGGGTTCAAAACGGGCGCTAAACGTGTGCCATAGGGGTTCCGTGCAGCGTTCTATCAGGGTTCCATGAAGGTTTTCTAGTTTTGTCACTTTTTCATAATTTACAGCCTCCGCAGGACGCGTATAAAGGATTCAGAAAATCACCGCAAAGCCTTCATAACACCCCTCTACAACATTCAGAAACCAACACAACTGGCCTTGCGAAACCCTAAACCTGAGACTGTCGACCCTCTCACTCATGAAAAGCACCCCCAAACCCTAGGCCTGCCTTAAACCCGAAACCCTAAACCCTAAACCCTGAACCCTAAACCCTAAACCAAAAAAAAACTGTTAAGCAGCCCTTTGTGAAGGTCGGTCAGACGCCCGCCTTCTTTGCCGGCAGTCGGGGGCTCAGTGGAACGAGAGCTTACCTTAGGGTTCTATGAGGGCTCTTTAGGGTTCTAGACAAGTTCGAAAAACAGTTTTTTGACAAAAGGGGCCTAGGAACGGAGGGGGGAGAGGTTGAGGGATACGGGTTTAAGGTATAAGAACCTGGGTTTTTTTTAGAGGTTCTGGGCTTTGTGATTCTACCCCCTAAACCCTAAACCCTAAACCATAAACCCTAAACCCTAAACCCCAAACCCTAAACCCTAAACCGGGTTGCGGTTCGAAGGCGCCGTGGTGCTCTGAAACAAAGGTTTGGGGA